GAATTTTTACACTCTCGTTAACCAAAGAAAGCTAAGATATTTAGGTTCTATAGCCATATATTCAGTAGCTTCATTATTTTTGTTATGTTTTTAAGATAACCATATTTTAGATTTTTAGTGTATCACACCTTATAATTTTATTTATTTATTAATTTATAGTCGGGGAACGTAGGCCCATAGATAGATACCTTAAAGTCTAACATATATACAGATTATAATGTGTTTATGGAGGTGTTTGGCGAAACATGTATGGCAATAGACTTTAGGATGTCGCTTACCATCTATAATAATTGAGCACATTTGCATCTCGTGAAAATGATATTAATACCACAGTGTAATAAAAAAAGTGATTTATTTTATCGATCTTTACAAAAGAGATTTGTTTTCATGTTATATAAACAACTTCGATCAGTCTTTGGCTGAATGTTATTACACCCATAGCCATTAAAAATGATTCGTATGTTTTCCAAACCGGTAAAATTAAAAGTCCTTTTTAAAGTAAATATATTATACAAAGGTGTCCGTTGAAATCTAATGACTGTAAATTAAATTATAAATTACTTATTTATTTATTTATTTATTTATTATATTACGCCAAGAATTACAGTGTATGTCAATATTTTTTGTGCATTTGGGCCAATTTGAGCAATCTCCAAAAACCCATCCAATGACCGACCACTGCGAAAGATGCTTAACTTCAACGATCGCAGCCGAACGCGCTAACCACTTGCGCCATCGAGCTCCTCATATAGTATATTTTTAATTTTAAGCATTTAACTGCCAGATGTTCAAACATTAAGAAAATTTTACCAGAAAAAAAGTACTCGGTCCAGGTTTCAGACGGGATTCAACCACGCGACTTCCGCTATCTGGGAGTATTTCAAATCTTTTTAACACAAAAACACTGTCAAGTGTCAACCGTAAACATTAAAAGACGTCTTTCAACCTTACTTTTATCACAATGCCGATTCCTAAATTTTGTTGTATATCTATCCATAATAATAGATCGGCTTAAGGTGCCCTCCAAAGCACAGAGGAGCTGGAGATAATAAATTTTTGGTCACCCATCCAATGACCGACCACTGCGAAAGTTGCTTAACTTCAACGATCGCAACCGAACGCGCTAACTACTTGCGCCACCGAGCTCCTTATCTGTCCATATTATTTCGTTCATAAAGATGCTTAACTTCAACGATCGCAGCCGAACGCGCTAACCACTTGCGCCATCGAGCTCCTCATATAGTATATTTTTAATTTTAAGCATTTAACTGCCAGATGTTCAAACATTAAGAAAATTTTACCAGAAAAAAAGTACTCGGTCCAGGTTTCAGACGGGATTCAACCACGCGACTTCCGCTATCTGGGAGTATTTCAAATCTTTTTAACACAAAAACACTGTCAAGTGTCAACCGTAAACATTAAAAGACGTCTTTCAACCTTACTTTTATCACAATGCCGATTCCTAAATTTTGTTGTATATCTATCCATAATAATAGATCGGCTTAAGGTGCCCTCCAAAGCACAGAGGAGCTGGAGATAATAAATTTTTGGTCACCCATCCAATGACCGACCACTGCGAAAGTTGCTTAACTTCAACGATCGCAACCGAACGCGCTAACTACTTGCGCCACCGAGCTCCTTATCTGTCCATATTATTTCGGTTCAATCCTAAGGCTTCAACATTATTTTTAATGTAAAAACGGTGGCAAACAAGCTTTTGGCTCGCCTGGTAGTAAGTGTCGCCGCACACGGGCCACACACCTCAGCCACAAACGCCGCCACGAGAAGCTAGAAGCGGCTACTAAAGTGGCTGAAGCGCGCGACAGCGGAGAGGGGTGGGGAATCGCGCGAGTGACGTGTGGCGGCGTTTTGTATCGGCGCATTAAGTGGCCGGTGCGGGCCACAAGAAGCGAGCAACGACGATTTGTAGCGTGTGGCGGCCACCGGCGTACAGTGTGAGTCCATATAAAATGTATGAAATCTACAAGAAATATGCCCGTTGCGGAGTTTTGTGGTTGTGGTCGGTGGCCCGCGTGCGGCGACATTAAGCGGCCGTCATTGCGTATAGACGTTTGCGTTACTAAAGTATCACTTTTGCCTAACCTCACCCCATCCCCTATCCCGTGGTGCACTACAAACTTACTCACCGACAGAAACACAACACCACCAAAAGGTAGTGATATTTCACTATCACACTTAATGTGTTTTATTTCACTTCTGAATAGCAGTGGATACTTCCCTAGGAAGGCACTCTAATTCGAGCGGTAAATTCGCTGTATCCTACTAATCTTCTGTAGCCTACTTTTTAAACAGTTTTTCGTGGCATTTTGAGTGTTTATTATAGTAAACTACCTAGAATCTGTCGCTAAACGGTTACAATTGCAACTTAAATAAGCCTTCCTGAGTATTCAATCAAATATATTTTCCACTTCAGAAATAAAAGTATAATTTTCTTCTTTTTTCTATTTTCAATTAACTCTTCGATTTTTCCTTGACCTATGAGATAACTTCCGCCTTAATATAATCTTATGTATTTTAAGTGGGTAATATACATGACAAAGATATAGTAAGACCTTCATAATATAACGAATACTCAGTATAATAGATTTAAAATGTGTTTAGCATTTAAATAAGTACTTAATAATATATTTATTATTGAGTAAGAATATGAAAATGACATTTAAATTTCAACTCTACAAATTCAATTTGAAATATGCTTATATTTTTATGATTTATTTATGACGTTTATACCAAGTTATGTTGTAATATTTTCAATTTTAGGAATTTAAAATGTGTCTTTATACCGATACTATTTTTTGTCTTTAAGATACCAATATTCATGTTAATTGACGACCTCCGTGGCCGAGTGGTTTATACGCCGGGTATCATGGTGTCGCCTACTCGAGAGGTCCCAGGTTCAAATCCCGGTGGGGGTAGATGTTTGTGTGATGAATACGAGCATTTGTACTCCAGTCATGGATGTTTAATATGTATTTCTATATAAATATACTTATAAATGTACAATATATGTATTATATCCCTTACACTAGTATCCCATAACACAAGCCTTATAGTGCTTACTTTGGGGCTAGGCTAATTGGTGTGAGTGTTGGCAATATTTATTTATTTATTTAATAAAACATAAAATCAATAAAATCACTAGGTTTAGGGAGCGGGAGGAGGACGCTCTAGCCGCTCCCCTCCGACGTAGACGGGTGGGCCGAAGAAGGCCGCGTGCCCTAGGTGCCATTCGGCATAGGCCACCCCGTCTGGGGCTTGCCTAGTACCCTAGCGCAATCCCCCAGAGGCGTGTCTCCCGGTCCACTGGTTGGGCCGGGCCGGCCCGGGGGCGTCCCGGTGAAATGGCGCACACAGGCGCCGATCCCGAGACGCCCCCCTCAAGGGCGTAGGAGGGTACCGGTGGTTTTTAGTGGGTAGGACCGGTGCTATTCCGCGCCGGGGAGTCCCACACTCGTCGCGCGTCTAGCCAGCGCGCGGTATGGTCCGTAAATGAACTTTCCACCGTTAACAAAAAATAAAAGTTTTACTTATGTTATAAGGGTAAGCATTTTCTACAAATGCCCAACTTAGAAATTATTAAGCAGAATTTTGACCTCAAAAATCCAGTCATTCAACACTGAAATACCATTCTTCCCTTTTCGTTCGTATTTTCATTACATTCTTTCATTCACTCACGTCATTTCTGTTACCACACAATGGCGTTCCGTTTACAGGTATTATCACGCAGTTTCAAGTAGAAGCACAAGCATGAATGTTGACAGCTCCCTAATCGTATAAGTCGCGGCACGAAACTCTAGCGCTGCCGTTATTGCGCAGAAGTAAAAATTAAGATGTGTTGGGGGGAAACGAGGTGCGCGGGTGGGCGTGCGTTGCGCCGATTGGCTCTCCAGTCGTATGTACCCTCCGCGCTTTATTCAGCGCTAGAGTTACGTGCCGCGACCTGTATCACATCGTCGAAGTTTATATGAAAACTAAGCAGCGTCCATACCGGACATAAGCACATACTATGACTCCTTCCATACAAAATTTGACGATGACGACGCAATTACGGAGCTGTCATAATTCTTGCTTGGGTCTAGAACTTAATCACGTCTAGCAGCATGTGTTGTCGGAATCAATAGCGGTAATTTTTTTATTTTTTAAGCATGTAACTGCTTGATGTTTAAATCTAAAGAAAATATAACTAGAAAAATATCCAGGCGTCCCGTCTGCTGCCTGGTCCGCGTGGAACAATAGCGGTATGTTTAGGTAATTATTTTCGAAGATGGTGGGTGCGGTCCTTTTGGCTACTTTCGTGATAACATGGTATGTATGGTGATTAATTACTCATGACTTTGATATGATAAATTAATGCTAATTAATATAGAAAATCAAGCGACGCACCGCTTTATAATTACGATTACTTTGCTCGTTTTTTTTTTCATTTTCTTTTATATCTTTCAGAAATATAACTCTCTACTAGTGAAAGAATTTTCAATATCAGTCTATGGAAGATTTTTAATTCTCGTTACTTCGGTTGTAGCGCTGTTAAAATTTCCACATAAAATATTTTGACATTTGACGCGTATCGAGATGGAATTCAACTCTTCGAATTTGATATTGGTTCGTGCTACATTACTTTTTAAGTTTATTCGTCAAAAACAAACAATCTTTTTACTTAATTACCCCTCCTAGAACCTAATTATTAGGTCAGATCTAAATAATAGTACTAAATAGAGCATGCGGTCCTTCTTGCTAGTGAGCCCGCGGAGTGCTCAGTGTAGGAAGCGGGGCGAGATTATCTCCTGATGATGACATTAGTAGAGACGAAGATGTAGCGGCCAAATTACAATTTCTTAGACTGATGATAACATTTTAATGTCGGGGTAAAATCTGTTTTCCTAATAGGTTAGAGGGGTAGCAGTATTGGAAAGGTTAGGAAACACTGCTCTATGGTATAGTTAAAGATCTTCTGTTTAAATAAAAAGATCAATTCTCACCCTTCTCGTCGTGCGCCCTCTTGGTGCCGTAAAACTGTAACGCTTCGTCCGCTGTCGCCTTCTGCCCGCTGTACAGTAAGTAGCAGCACACCATTGTTCCTAAAAGCAAAATAATTCATAAGCATACTACATTAGTGTTTTCTTTTTATCTATACATGGCGCAGCAAATCATGCCATCCAACCTGAAGTTAGCTGAATGTCAAGAAAAATGGGAGACCAAGTCACAAAAAAACTGATGTTGCAAAGAAGTGTAGAACTCTTCAGTGTCCTTCCCTTCATCATCATCATCATTCTGTTTATGTCCGCACTGCTGGGGCACAGGCCTTTCCAATGGATGGAATAGGGAGATTGGGCAATAAACCGCCACGCGGGTCCAGTGCGGATTATTGGGTGCTAACGACTGCAGATGCAGCCGGGACCGACGGCTTAACGGAGGAGCTCGAGATACATAAATTTTTGGTCACCCATCCAATGACCGGCAATTACGAAAGTTTCTTCAATTTCACGATAGCCGACAGAAAGCGCTTACCACTTCGCCTCAATGGCATTAACACTTCAAAAAAAGATTTACGATCAAAAGACCACTCAGTAAGCTACAAAAATAATACAGATCACCAGTCATGAAGATAGACTGTGCGGTTGATCCCGGATCCATCTGCAGTCGTTAGCACCCACCAATCAGCACTGAGCCCGTGGTGGGTGATGGCTTTATCTCCTTATTTCATACAGTAGGAAGAACTGTGCCTATGATCATGCGACCGACACCGAGCTTAGGGTGGCGAAATTCTAAAGGGACCCGCAGCCGGCAAATCCGGCGGAGGGAATCTCCCTGCGGAGAAATTCTCAGCTCCTACCTCGGCTAGACAGGCCAGTCCACCAGTGTTAGAGGGGCGTTTGCGCTAGGTGTCACTAGACTCAGATCTACACTATTACTATTTCTGACAAAAAAAGTACATTGTAGGTACTAAGTATCCTCCATGTACAGAACTCTAGCTAAAAATTAACTTGCCCAATACGCAGGGCCGGATTTAGAGGTGTCGCAGCCTCGGAGCAACGAAAGAATGGAGGCTTTTTTATCGCTATTATGGGGGCGCCTGATCCACAGCCCCGCCTGTCCTGCCTTAAGAGGGGAGGCGGGCAATGTTTTTTCCATACAAACGTTCTCGACTGGTTCCTCCTTGATTTTTATCACTATAGAAATGATTTTCATACATAAAATATAATTCTACTCATTCTATGCTCCTATGTCTTCCTATTTTCGATAATTTGTGTTTTCAAGAGACTAGAAGCCCTCAAAAATGCCTTAAATAAACATTTTTTTATCACCACTAAAGCCGTCTTGTGTGGAGATTAAATGAGCATTTACAAAAAAAAGCAAAACAACTAGTATAACTATTTATTGTTCAATGAGTAAATTTTCTTTTAGTTTTACCTAATTTTCGATGACGAAATAGTCGAGAGCCAAACCTGGAATTTTGTCATATTTGTACGTAATTTTCAGCGTTAGCTACTGTTGTCCTATCGCACGGTATTTGCCAATGCGCGACAGTGTTCAAATACCTATTCTCAAATGTCTCTCAGCTCACGTCCACCCTTAAATCCAGCAATGCCAAAATTTTATTATTCGGAGTTAGTTTACAGAAGTTGCAATTCCAATACATTACGTATGTACAGTGAATGGCGCCTCAACTTTGGCGCCATGCACCCGAGCCTTATGGCGTAATTGAGTACATCCGAAATGGACACCACGATATGATGGCACGACCACCCACAGTCGTAGAAACGACGCAAAAAGAAAAATAACAAGTAAACACGTGCATCAAATTTTACGTCGCATCTTGTGTACTAACAACCACGAACTTGATCCGAACCTGTATCTATTATTTTTTTGCAAATTATAACTGCATACACTTAATTTGACACAATTATGTTTCCATCCTACTAATCCTATTGATATTATAAATATTAGAGTCTTTATTTTTTTTACTCAATCACCAAATCACGGCTGAACTGATTGAAAGAAATTTGGACACATATATTTATTAGCTGGATTGAGACCCAATATTCCTTTTCCCGAAAAAAGTTTTAGGTTCCTGTAGGATTTTCAAGGTAGCCGCTAGTTTCAAATAATCTTCACCCTGTTAATCTTCCAACTAGTGGGGTAGCAAACTTCCCTATGGATAGAATAGGGAGATTAGGCCATGCCAGGACCCACCATGCAAGTCCAGTGCTGATTGGTGTGTTCTAATGACTACAGATGCAGTCGAGACTGCCATCGGCTTAAGTCCTCTACACACTGGACAGCGCTATACACGTAAAAGAGATCCTCTATCTCCATCAATTTTACGTGTACAGGTCCGCAAACGATGAATCTCGAGATAATAAAAATTTTGATCACCCATCGTATGATTGATGCGAAGGATGTTTAAATTCCTAAGTTCCCTCTAGAGATCATGAAAGAGGCTGGGATTTCTTAAAAATACCCCATATTATAGAATTACACAGACTCAAAAATCTGGTATTGGCAAAGGCCAAACCTAACCTAAGAGCGAGGCCACAACACTATCGCAATGCGATGAGATGTCGCAACGCAAAAAAAAAATCGCAACGGCCGCCAGCACATCGGACATTTCCGCGATGCGTTGTACGACGTCGTAGATTTCTACGGGGCTACGCCGCAACTCTGTGTTGTGGCCTGGCTCTAACCTAACCGCAAAAGTTTTCGACCTTGTGTTTCAGAAGGATATCGAAAAGGTGATATATGTAACACTATTTGTATTTATACTGTATGACATAGCAATTAAAATGTAGGCTAACAATTAATGTATATTTAATCATTATGTCATGAAAGGTGACTTCATGAATCATCTCTGAAATCATTTTTTAAACTTGGCGACTCTGTAAATAATAAAACAGGGAGAAAAGAGAGCCTTTTCTGAGTTTCTTGCCGGTTCTTCTGAGTACAAGGTCTCCCGCCGTAGATTTATGAACCGATGGCGTAGCTTCTAGACATTCATAAATGCTAGTAACAGCCTAAACTGAATAAATGATTATGATGGGTTTTAGAAGTATGAATAAATTAGTAACATTTTACTTCTATAATATAAAGGTCTTAAAGCTGGAAAACGGCAGTTACACCTGCACAGTGAAATGGAAGTTTCAACTTTTCGCTAACGTTGAATTATTAAAAAAAGTTTTAAGATTAAAATTGAGGCAAGTCGTGTAAGAAAGGGCATAATTTAAAAAAGGCCAATTTTATGGGGGTACTGTTCATGGGCTTTCTACAGAATCGTCTTTTCAGTGCCAAGCGATTGACGCAACCCTATTTTTTATTTCCCTTTAGGGCTGCCTACAAAAATTCGGTTTGAAAGGCAGCATTTTTTTTTCTCAAAATTTACGACTCCAGCGTGAAAGCGGGCACGAAGATAATGCACCCAATTATGTGTCGTAAAGAAATTTCGCAATTACGACTGACGGTTTTGGGGCCCCCCATTCCGTTTGACAATGGGCCCTGCTCCGTAGGCAATAAAGTGCCACGTGTAATTTGCAACCTTAACCTTTGTTAAAATTGAGCCCATTATGTTAGGATTCGTGATCGGTTCACATTGTCGATGGCGGAGGGTATTGAATCCTTTCTCATGTAAACTAACTTAACGTGCTTAAACTACATTGTTGTAGTGACGCTGATTGTCAGCGGCAGATAGCTCATCACTTTAACGGGCTGATTTCAAAGCAAGAGAGGTTTTTGGAACGCCATTTTTTTATTATTTTACGAAAGATCCACCGCAATACTCAATACTTTATTGCGTTCTACAATGTTTTCTTCTTATATAGATATTATAGTAAATTAATTTGAACATTGTAAAAATCTGAGAAGGGCACAGCAATAGATCGGCTGCAAATTTGCATAACACAAGTGATGATATGAAAATCGTTTTCCTTATTTATCACAAACATATTTCATTCACAATTACATAGCCAGCATAATTGCATAAGCGCTTTAATTCTAAAGTAAGCTTGTTTGCCTCTTGTTCTGAAAGTTTCCTATAAAATGAATGTAAAAAACCTTGTATGAGCTAGATGCAACCGCACTGCCGTATTGATAAGCGCGTTAGGTTTGCGATTCTGGAAGCTTAACATCTTTCGCAATGGTCGGTAATTAGATGGGTGACCAAAAATTTTATTCGCGCTCCTTCGAGCTTCTCACGTTAACATGATGTTCTCTACTTCATCTACCACTAGCTAACACCCACTAATAGGATAGGATACTGTGGTTTATGGTGCGTTATCGCTTTGTAAACCCATCTACCTATATGAAAAGCCCGCACAATGAGGAGGAGACGAGTGCCCATGTTCTGCTGGAGTGCAGAGGCGTTGCAAAATAAAGGACTTCTCTAATGGGAAGCCCGCGGAAACTAGTAGAAGCCTGCAGCAACATCCGGGGACTGCTGAGCTTTTTGGAGGAGCTGGGATGGCAGGACTGATGCCAATCCCCACGCAAAATAGGCACTGGGTGTCGAGTTGCGGAAACAGCCCGCCGTTCTACTAAGACTAAGACTAAGCCCGCGCAATAATAAGCTGATGATGATGATCATGCTAAATTCGCATGGTTGGTTATGACTGTTACATGATCATGATTTAGTCCATATGTCTGTAAAATGTCTCTAGCGAAGACATAATATGGAATGCCTACAGCTGGGATATAAGGGCACCTCGCGCACTACGGTCACGACCACGGTCAGTCGTAGCCTTAGCCGTGACTGGCCACATTCGTGGTCGCAGATCCATTGCGCGAACGCTCATAGCAAACTATACGTCTGTTCAGTGGCGCTAGACCACATGTGGACGTCGGCGACATCAAGTTCGCGAGGCCTATTTTAATTCGCAGTAAAAAACCGTTAAATTAAGTGAGCCAAATTATAAAATAACGTATGAGTAAACGAGTTTTATTGTTGATAATCAAATGAAACATAGAAATTTAATTAAAAAAATAGTGTTGCCAGACAGACGATTTTAAATACCCGTAAAGTACTACTCGCTATCATTACGCACGTGTTCGAAAATAATAAAAGTCATTATCATCTGCATAGCTTTGTTCGGGGTCGGCTACCTAAGCCAGGCCAGGAGAAACGAAAATAAATAGGTAACTTGTAAAAAAATTTTGCGAGGCCCCCTCAGGCGCGAGGCCGTCGGCGGTGGCCGACGTCGCCGACGCCTAGCGCCGCCACTGCGTCTGTTGGTCGCAACGATCGGCCTGGTGTGCGGCCAAGTGCGCGAGGTTCATATGTTTTTGAAGTGAAAACTCCTTTAGTGGCGTTGTATACTTTTTTTGTAATGGGTAAAAAATTTTAAACTCGCGTCAGGACACGTGGCGTAATCGAAAATTCGTAAGAAAATTGCAGCAGAAAATGCATTTTTTTACAATAGATGTCGCTAGGTGCGCTTAAATATGATTCATGTAAGTTGATTTTTCTGAGAGATAAACTTTTTAATGTAATATAAATTGCCATGTTTGTGTACGATAACGCAATAAATAAATATTGTATTCTACCACATATTGATTGTACATTTATACTGATAATTAAAGCAATCCGTGCAAAATTATTCCCTAACCATTCTAAAATATCAAAAATGCACAACGTTAATATACAAGTTTTCACTTCTGCCGGCACTCCCGGAGTGCAACCCTTTTTTTTTCTTTAATCTGGTCGTTGCAGCCACTGATGATACACTGTTCATTACTCACCAGTCCTGCCCTTGCCAGCCTTGCAGTGCACGACGGCCACGTTCCTGGAGTCGGCGCTCAGCCAGTTGTGCACGTCCTCGCAGAACGGCTGGATCAGCTCCATGTTGGGTGGCGTGTGGTCGTTGAACGCGTACTCTGGCACCACCTGGAAACCACCAAAACGCAACTTATTTACCTAAATCTCGAAAGAAACATTCTAATATCCGCATAACTTTTTTTGTGTGGTAAAGACGTGACGAGTTCCTCGCTACCGGGAGTTGCATCGAAGATATGCGAGGATTCCTTCCGCGTCTTTTTGTCCAGCTCAAAGGTTTAGCGAAATAAGCAGGGCCCTACTCACTAAAGCCCCAGACAATACTCCTGCACCGATCATCCGATAAGCACTCCAAAGACCTTTTGAGGTATGTTTAAATGTCTGAATGATGCCTAACGTATTTTCCGCCCACCGGGAAGCAAGACGGAGGTATCTGTGGACTCCTCCCTGTCCATGTCACCCAGCTCGGAAGTTCGACAGAATGAGCAGGGCCTTACTCTGTAAAAACCAGACAATACTACACAATAATGCGTGCCGAGAGTGCGGGTATAACGTGGCCCACGACACGAGACTAGCCACGCAACGCACTCTGAGGACCTAGGTGTCTCGAGTGGATGCTAAGAGTTTGGGTATAATTGTGTGGCATGGCGCCCCGTTAGGACTTGTCTCAGCATCTGCCAGTGAACTCTCCACATAACTACTTTTTAAAGGTTGCAGCATGATAAAGAATCGTGAAGTAATTCCCGATTTACTTCTGCAGTTAAGAGAGAGGTTTTTTGTGGGAGCGCTGTCCGTTGACAGGCTTTTACCATCTCTAGTAATGTAAATTATTTACGGGATTGTTACCATTTACCTTGTTTTTAGCGAGTTTCCGATATTTCGGCACTGTTGCAAGTACCATGATCACGGAGTAACTGTTATTCCGTGATCATGGCGCAATATCGGAAACTCGCTAAAAACAAGGTGCATGGTAACTCGTAAATAACTTATATGACTATAATGTTAGTGACCATGAAACTTTAAAACAATATATTTTACCATCTAGCTAGAAAATTAGCTTTTCATTTAATCCTTGTCCTTGTATAGCATACACAATTCAACAGTAAAACAAGACAAATCATAGGGTATCTTGATCGACATTGGCAAAGGAGAACTGGCCAAATCGTATGTAAATGAAATTCGCGGCCGTACGGCTTCCGAGCTTGATTAAATTTCCTAATTAATTAATTTCACTTGTGGTCTCCTCAGGGCTTGAGACAAAGTAAGACGGCAATAAACTTTATATAAATAACAATTCCGTTATAGCAAGAACGTAGACATTGCACAACTTCAACTTAATAAAGAAAAATATTGCATAATAATAAAGACGCGCCTCCAATACAGATACTACAAACATAAACAAAAAAATGACAAGAATGTTTTGTGATTAACAACATAAAGAACATATAGGTTATTATGCAATATTTCGAAAGCCAATTATAATCTGTTATGAAAATTGGTTCGACAAAAGTTAGTGTGATAAAATAAATAAATTTTGTAAATAAAATACTAAGGTATTACCTAGATATAATTTTTTGATTAGTAAAGAAAGTAGATAAATAAAGCCTCAATGATAGAGGTCGAGTTTATAAGCTGCAAGCCAGGGGGTTTGTAAGCAGTTTGTTACTCGCCCCGTGTCACCGAGTAGCAGATTGTAAAAAAGCCAATGACACGGGGTTTATTTACAAGCTGTTAGCGAACGCGCTGGCTTGTAGTTTGTAAACTCGCCCCGTGTCATCGAGGCTTCACAAGCTGAACCAGCCAGGGGGCTGGTTCAGCTAGGGAGCTGCACCGAGATATGACATAATACCTCGTTTTTATCAGGTTCCATTGTCAAATTACTATGGAGTTTGACAGTTAGACGCGATAAAATACGCAATATTTTGTGGTGTTCATGCTACGGGGATAGATTTTAATTAAGATAAAATCCATGCGATTATTTTTTTGACAATAATAACCACGTAGAAAGAAATGCGTAGAGAAACACTCACGATTAATTTTGACCTTTCAAAGTTTAACGATAAGAGTAACTGTCAATGTGGCAAACTTTATAGCGCTAATTTAGCAAAAAAATTAAAAATCTCCTTTGAATTTGCTTTGTTACAAAATTATAATAAAAATGAATGATCACCCGGATTGGGAAGGGTGCGGGTTCGAGTCCCTTCTGCTGCCTGGTCCGCGTGGAATTTTTTCTAGTTATATTTTCTTTAGATTTAAACATAAAGCAGTTACATGCTTAAAAAATAAAAATTATAACAAAAATCAATTTGCTAATTACAATGATGAATTATGCAAAACTATGCTCAGGATGTAAACAAGTAATCGGATCTATAAGTAACACGGGAGGTAATTACTGTTTCTTCAACTTCGTTGCACACTTTCCATAATGATACCATGCTCGTAGAAGAAGTTCTGATTTACTGTTTCATCTATATTAGTAAAATTAAAATATAACCAGCTCGACATTAACTGTCAGACTACTGTCAAACTCCATAGTAGTCTGACAGTTAATGCCGATATATCGCTTTATCATATCCCGTTTCGGTGGTCATGCTAGAGGGGCAGGAGGTCTACTCTCTTTCTCCGAAAGGAACTTTCGAAAACAAAGTTATAACGCAATTAAATATCGTCAATTTAAGGTTATAGTTAATTTGATCGATGAACTATCAAATTGAATCTATATTCCGACGACGAATTTTATTATAATTAAAAACGAACCAGAAACATACTAAGAAAAGTGGAAGTTTCGCTCGAAATTTAGTTTTTCGTTGAATTACAGTAGACCGCCTGTTGTTAAAATTTGACACGACATGTACTATATATTAAAAATTTCTGACAAATGGTTATTTTTTTCTTTAGTATAAAACTATAGTAAAATTTTACTTTTGATGAAATACGCGCCTTACGTGTTCAAAAAATGTAATGATCAGTGCAGGACACGGATGCAAAGCTTCGGGCTTTATCTATTTCTACATGGCGACCTTCGGCCCCAGGCTGCTTAGAAATCTATTACATAATACTACCCTATTATAATCGCCCTATTACAGAAATCCTATTCTGATACTTATTAATTAACGGTGTTCCAGTGATATCGATCGGTCATTGCACCCATGTCAAGGAAAATATTTTGCAAATACAATGTGGGGTAATGTTCAGTCGAAAAATGTTTTAATAAGGACCCTCAGGCCAGGCTAATGTAAGTGCAGCGTTTTTCCTTAAAAAATACTGTCCCAGAAAATAAACAAAGAGGGTGCTGTCTAGTGTTGCCAGGTCCGATTTGTTTTAAATCGGTACACGAGGTCAAAAAAATTGGGGATTTGGGGTTGCAGATAGGGACAGTAAACAAAAAACAAGGTGTTATAGTAATATAAGTTATTTACGGCATTGTTACCACTAAACTCGCTAAAAACAAGGTACATGGTAACAATCCCGTAAATAACTTATATTACTATAATGTTAGTGACCATGAAAGTTAAAAACAAAAAAAATAAGGTGCTTTTTTTTTTAAGTCTGGGTTTAATTTATTACGTTTAAACGACTAGTGCAAGTATAAGTAAGTATTATATTAGTTACCTAAATTTTATTTTTTGATGGCCCTATTAGGCCATTTCGCGTCCCGATCAGGTACAAATCGGGACGTCCCGCGCAAACCGGGACACCTGGCAACACTAGTGCTGTCTGGTAGTATGTACTAGTAGACGCACACGACCTGTCGATTCACAGGCAACGAGCAGAAGTAGGCACCCCAAGCACGAACAAGTAGCAAGAAAGTATTCATATCGAAATGTCAAAGTTTCTATGGCAAAAGCTAGTTTATTCAGACATTCGGGGGGGGGGGGGGGGGGGTCTGCTTAGTTTCCATTAAACCCGTTCAGTGGTTTAGGCCTGAAAGGGTAACTAACAAACAAACTCACTTTCGCATTTATAATTAGTTAGGATTTGTTAATTGTTCAAGATTATTATAAAAAAAAAAAAAAATTTAAGCAAAACGCGCAAAATTATTCGTTACAATTACACAATTTCACTTTGTATGCGAGACGATGGGAAATCTATAGAATATATAAAAGCCAACATTGTGCACCAGTAGGTAATAATATGACAGTTGAACGTATCATAGTGGGCTACAATTATCGTATATTTACTTACGCGATGTGGTATTGAAGGCGCGCCCCGATAACGCCACAGCGCTTCCTTGTTGGTTACTATAATCTTTTTGCACATGCAATGCAACAGTACCGCAGATTTACAGCGCGGTCTGTATGTATATATTTGAATATACGTATCGGCGGTGTTTGAACAAATTGTCATATCGGCGTGGCCGGCAAACCCGCTAGCAACACATAAATAAACAGACATGATTGCTTAATATGATTATACGTGTTTAGTTATTGTTGGCTTTTTATGAAAAAGCTTTCTTATTTGTTGGGTATATTTGGATTCCCATGAACAGTATGAAACCGCAGCCATTATAGGATCCTTCCTAAAAGAACGTAGCGGCAAATTAGCCACAACCGTCATAATGAATTGCAAGCACCTGTTCTCTCCTTACAAGGTGCTGACAAACTCAGAAGACTACAGCACTTCTTGTAGTTATAATTACATACTCAGAAAACATTGGAACGAAGTTCCTTTCGGACGAGCGACGGTACGGCGGATGGAGGTTTGGCGAAAAATGTTGTAAGATTTTTTCCGTCACGGCAAAATTGTAAAGGTGCTCTCCGACGATCTGTGTTGTCGCGGACGAGGTCGCGATGCGAACGGTTGCCAAACGTATGAGAACTCTAACGTTCGAGATTTAGCAGTATATATACATGATACAATACAATATAATACAAAAGAGATGTTTACATTTCAAAAAATCAACAATCCGAACTAATTTAAAGAATAGTTTTTGACATGTAGCAAATAACTTGAGTGGAGAAACGGTCCGCTACATTTACATTAGAGACACTCGAAACCAACAACCGATAGCAAATTATTATCCTCATGCTTCACGCATCAACAAATCATATCCCCTATAAACATGCAAGTACTCCATCGCTCCACATAGTTAAGTATATACTTGAAGTTGTATGTTACTCAAGAGTTTGAAAGAAAAGTGTAATTGGAGCTCAACTCGCGGCCATTTCGTAAACATCCTTTGTGTGTATACAATAAAGAATAAATAAATAAGTACCGGAACACATCATATTCGACACGTGCCGGTACAGTGGAGGAGAGTTCCACGTGTCAAATCGTACACAAAGCGTATCACGTAACTGTCACAATACGTCTAATGACGGCTTAAGAGTAAGTGACAT